CTCATGATATCACATTCAGACTCAACTTCTTTTTTCAGTTCTTTCATCTCTTCGTCAGACAAACTCTCCTATCTAAATTGTTTAATAGCGACGGGAACACTACGATAATTGCCAATATACACTTTACCCATCGCACCTTCTGCAATTGGAGTTTCAGACATATTCAACTCATCCATATCTAAATGGACCGTGTTCATTGCGGGTGAATAAGATTTAAACCCAAACCCAACACGTATACAATTTATTGAGATAGATTTTTTCTAATTTGTTTACTATTAAAAAGGAAATATATAAAATACTATATGTAATGGTTATATTATCTATAATATGTACTCATTAAAAAGAGAAAAACGTTTTGGTTTTATTCACAAAAAAGATTAACATTTTAATAATGTAAAATATAAGTTAAATATAATTTTATTTCGAATTAACTTTGAATAATTTATTGTTTAATAATCTATAACACGTGTTTATAAACAACGTTTATTTATTAAATTAAAATAAGATAAAACCATTAAAATTAGTTGTTGTATACTTATTAATTTTGAAACCTAATTATTCAATGAATTCCAACCAACTTAATGATGTCTATTTCAAAGGGTTAGAACAACAAAAAAATGTGCCTCCAATTTCACTTTGGAATACATTATCATCATTTACAAAGGATAATCTAAAGGCTAAAATAATTTTGGAAATCTATAATTCAACAAATATTCCAATTTTATGTGTGTTAAAACAAAAACCAAGTCCAACTCATAGACTTAATTCGGTTCACAACACGATAATCACTGGTTTATACAACATGTTGGGAACAACACTGACATGTTCATGTACTGAAATCATTTAACAATTTTGTTATATTTCCACTGAAATGTTTTCATTTCAGATATACACAGCAAGACATACTCGTTCCGATTCCCCAAAACAAATTTATGGATGCAAGTCATTCAGTTGTTGTTCTTCTGTCGTTATTTTTTTGTTTGAAAAGAAATGTCTTTTTATATATTTTAACCCATGGCACACTAACCACGATGAGACATCACTAACAAAGGGTCTCCACGACTTAATTCCCCATGATAAAAAGCTTGCAATTCTTAAAGACGCATTAAATAATGTGAGTACTCAAATATCAAGATTGAATCATGATTTGACGTATCTTCCACAAACAATCTATGACATAAGAAAAAAACTTACAAAAACCAAACAATCAAACAAGCCAATCAACTTAAAGTTTACTTAGACTCACTTACAGACTTTTCAACTGTGTTGTTTACAGACTCACAGAGGCGTTTTGTTGGATGTTTTTGTATTAACACGTTATCGTTATGTGAATATGATAATTCTTGTCTGGTTATTGATGATACACATTGTACAAATAAGTTTTCCAAACCACTTTTTGCTGTCATTTATAAAAAGAATAACACAAGTAGATTGCTATCGTTTGGGTTTTTAAGAGATTCATCAAAACAAGCTTTTGAGGAAAATCTGAACGAACTTAAACGTCATTTTGACGAAAGAGGGTTTTCACCGATCGGGTTTTCATGTGATTGCTCTGAAGCACAATCTTCGGCTCTCTATACAGTATTTGGAAAACATGTAAAAATCAGACATTGTTGGTTGCACATTCATAGAAATTTAGAAAACCCATTTTTCTCGTGATGATGAAATCATTCAGTTGTTTGACGCAATGTTCCGGGAAAACACGCACATTGTAAAAGCCGAAGCACTCTTCCTCGCAAAACTTACTTTATTAATCTCAAATGAAAATGTCCATTCTTTTAAAATTAAAGATCAAATGTCTCCAAATGATAACGAAGAATACTTAGACTTCCTTACTCTTGCGTTATCATCAGATATTTTTCCTTCGGAAAACATCAAAAATCGCTCCAATAAATATAAAGCACTTAAAACGCTATTTGATATTAAAGACACGTTTTTACCTTCTCAAGTGTGCCAACAACTATATTCCAGTTCAAATCTTGCAGAGGGATTGTTTTCTCATGCCAAAGGACTGATCAGATGTAAAACACCCACTTTAATGGAAGCTGTTAAGGCTTTTGTTTTATATACCCGACAACTACAATTAAAGGCAACAACTTTTTCAGAAGAACAGCTAAACGCACTCAAATTACTTGTCCCAATGGATACGTTAAAAAATATGACTTCGAACGCAGTTGATATACTTTTAGATAACTTTGATACTTTTATTTGCATGAGTAAATGTCCAGCCGGCAATGGAAGTAATTGTATGTGTAGTTTGTATCAAGAAACTGGAGTTCCTTGTTGTCATATGATTTATTTTCGAAAACGAGGTGGAGATGCATTCACTGATTCAAAGTGTCCACCAGGATATTTTAAAGATATCAGAGGTAATACAAGATTGATAGTAAAAGGCCCGTGTCGTTCACCACTGTTTTCTGAGTGTGATTTTTCTGAGACAAATTTTATTGTCCATAAAATAAAAAGTGTTCATGAAATTAAAATTGTAACAGAAAATGGTTTACTCAGTGAAGAAGATGTAAAGAAAAAATTGTTTGATTTAACCCACAGTTTGAGAAGAAAAACAATATTTAAAAAAGTTGTTGGACTGGTTGAAGAAATTGATAAATTAAAAGAAGATAAAACTGGTTATATCGAGGACGATATTAAAGATCCAATGATAATCATGTGTCCTGGTAAAAAAAGAACTAAAACATCAAAAAACGTCGATGACTCGTTGTCAAATAGACGCAAAAAATACAAAAAAATGTGTAAAAAACAAATTAGAAAATGAAAGTAAACCGATAAAACTAAAAGAATTATAGTTTAATAAGTATACAACAACTAATTTTAATGGTTTTATCTTATTTTAATTTAATAAATAAACGTTGTTTATAAACACGTGTTATAGATTATTAAACAATAAATTATTCAAAGTTAATTCGAAATAAAATTATATTTAACTTATATTTTACATTATTAAAATGTTAATCTTTTTTGTGAATAAAACCAAAACGTTTTTCTCTTTTTAATGAGTACATATTATAGATAATATAACCATTACATATAGTATTTTATATATTTCCTTTTTAATAGTAAACAAATTAGAAAAAATCTATCTCAATAAATTGTATACGTGTTGGGTTTGGGTTTAAATCTTATTCACCGTTCATTGCGTCTGTGGTTATCACAAAATTTTCGTAATGCCGTCTTTTCACATTTTTACACAAAATAGCCATCTTCTTCTTGTCATCTTCAGTCCAGTTATCAAAGCTTTTGTTCTTCAAAAGATCGGCGATGGAACTCAATGTACTTTTGGAATGTGCAAACCAGACTGAATATGGTATTCTTAAATCTCTGATTCTCGTTGTACAATGGATTGTCATATAACAAGTTATGGTATATGTTGATGCCATTCGTGGGCGGATATACAGAACTTGTGGCTCAAAATAAAACGTGTATTTTGGAGAGTTTGAAGTGTGGAATATAACCATCATCCATTTGTTTTTAGATAAATTTTTGACTTCAATTTTTTCGAATCGAGTGTCTCCAATAGAAGTGAGTTTATTTTTATTTCCAAAGCCAAGACGAGTTGGTTCAATCATATATCTTGAGAACTTGTAACCACATGCTTTAGTTGCTCCGTTAATATAGAAGTGATAAATTGGTTGTTGTGTTTTGTATATATTAATATCAATTCTTTTGTATTTTAGTAGACAAGTAACTATAAATGATAAACTCCCACATAACACCAAAAATGATATAACTGATGTTATGACAATGGCTACTATAACTCCAACAGATAATCCCTTTTGACGACAACTCAATTTATCATCTGGATTTGTCTCGTAACCTTCGAAACATTGACACGTGATGTTACAATTTACACCACCTCACACTCTTCTTTTCTGATACATTTACCATTTGTATTATAGTAATCATCAATATTATTATTACTACAAAGATTACTTACACAGATTCCATAATTAGATGTGTAATTCAGAGACTTTTGACAGGTACAACCACTATCGCAACCTTCACTGTTTCTTATACATTCATCCCCATTTCCTAGTTTACCTTTTGCACATTCACAAGTCACACACAGATTATTAGAAGATGTTTTGCCATTATTACAGTTGCAATATTGGTCACAGTCTCTTGAACCAAAGTAACATAAATTGGCATTATCTGTGATTTGCCATTTGTTTTTGTAATAACACAACAAATGACAGTCATCACCTCCATACCCTTCTTCACATACACATTTTCCTTCATTTATATCACACCTCCCAAAACCACTCTCCTCATTACAATCATTTGGACATATTATCGATAATGCCATTGTTATTTCTGCTCTGTAATCTTGAGAAAGGAATGAAAAGTATCTCTTTTTACCATCACCCTGAACTTTAATATGTATTCCATTTGGTTGACCAACTTCCCCCTCCTTTTCTCTTTGTTCAATTGAATCCAATTTTTTGCCAGAAATAAGTCGAACACAAGACCGCTTTAAGAAATCGCCATTTTCGTCATATTCAAGTTCTAATTCGTTCATGTAAACAATACGATTATCATCCCTTGTATCAATAAAAACAGAACCATCTCCTTCATACTGTAAAGTAAACAAAATGGCTTTCATGAAGACATTTTGCATATAGGCCGAGTTGGTAAAAATCCCATATTGTTCAAACGGGATTTGAAATTTCAATTTTTTTGTTAAGTCTTTAGAAAGCGAATCAAATATGTTTTGAGTCAAATCGAAATTTGGTTCAAGTTTGAGTCCGTTCACTTCTTCAATTAAAATCGAAAACGACATTTTTTTGGTATAAGTTGGAATAGACGCAAAAAAGTAATACAAATATTTATCTTTGGCATCTTCTCCATTGTTCTTTCTTAAAGGAAAGGTTCCTGAAGTTATATAAGAAGTCGAGTTGATGTAGAAGTGTACATAGCAATGAGGTGTATATGAGTAGTAAGGTGAATTTGTTCCATCCAAATGTAATTCCATTTGTTTGTCATTAACATCTGTCTTTTCTAATGTAATCTTAAAGTGGTCTTTAGTCATTTCATTTGAGTCAAACGCATACCATTTACCCACTCTATATTTGTGTTCGTGATAACAAAAAGAACTATCGACAATAGATTGTTCATCGAATGTGTAATTTGCAATTACATTTAAGTGTAGTAAGGTAAAATATTTATCTTCGGGTAACCAACGTGATACAGCATTAACTGCTACTTTCTGTGGAAATTTATGGCAAACCATATCATCGTCCATTATAAAAACTGGTGAGTTGTTGTCATATGGATCAGTTCTATAACATTGATTACATGAATTGTCATTATCGTATTCAATCGAACAAGATTTTCTGCATGTGTAATTGGCGATACAAGTTGATGGACATCCAGGAGGACATATAATATTGGTCAGACACAACATTGGAAGATACAATACAACAATACTTAATATTTTCATGTTAAAAGCAGATTAAACAATTTTTTAAATAACAAAAATTTTAATTGGTGTTTATATAAAAGAGTATTTTTATTTGTTTTTAACTTTTTCTTGACATTAAATACTTTTACTGGTTATTTTTTCTATTTTTCGATGTTAAGCTTATTTAGGTGTTTTGTGAAAAAAAACCTAAAAAGAAATTATGCGCGATGTTTTCAAATAAAATATAAAACAGTTTATAAAAACATTTTAATTTTTTAAATTTGTATCATTCAATTTTACTATTCTAAAAAAGCAATTTAAAAATGGTATTTAAGTTGTCTGTAATTAACAAACAAAATATTTTGAACAAATGTAAAATTGTAGTTCAAAAAAGTTAAAACGTCATTTAATTGAAATGTGTTTTTTTAAATTATTTTTTTGTGATATTCCTATTATTAGAGTCCAATATTTGTTTAATAATTAACTAGACCAGATAACCTTAAATAATCTGTTTTTGTTTATATTTCTAAAATTTTTTAAATTTTATTCGTTGTATTCATTCATGTTTTGAAAAAAAAATAATTTCAATTATTTATTTTGTGAACTTGTTATTTTATTTTTTTATTCAAACTATATTTATATGTGGCATATGTCCTTTTTATCTATATGTTACTGCAAACTATAAAATTATAGTAAATTACTGTTTTTGTTTATTGTCCTGTTTTTTAAATTTGCATTGTAAAAAACATTAAATATTTTTAAGAAACCAATTTTATAGTTTAACGGTCGTTTTTAGTGCCGGTTAATTTTTCAATTATCTGTAATGGTGTTCAAAAACATGTATTTGAATATGGATATATAAATAATAAAATCTTTTTTGACTAAATTTACCCATTTAAAAATAGTAAAATTAAGTTGGATTCTGATTTTTTCAGTTGTTATTTATTATAAACTAAAATAATTAATATATTATTATAAAATAAATTAATAATTGAATTTATGGTTATTTTTATAGAATAAAATATGTTGTAAATTAAAACAAACAAAAAACAATTATATATAAGGAATAATAATTAATTTTATCCAATTATTAATTATTGTATTGTTATGTCTTTGCAAATAAAAACTTTTTATAAATATAAATAAATATTTAAATACTTTAAATATTAAAATACAATTTTCATTATCTTCATTTTTAACTTTAATGGACTAACATCACTGAATTTATTTTTAATTGTTTTAATTTATTTAATGTTTTAATAGAAAAAAATGTTATTAATTAAAATAAAAATAGAATACTATTTTTTTGATTTATATCATCATTGTTTAAGTTAAAATTATTATTATTTTGTTAATTTGTCTTTAAAGGCCTAATATGTTGTTTAAGGGATTCATGAGGATTGTTAATTTTTCTGAGGATGGTAAATATCTTAAACATAATTTCTTTCAATTTAGATTTTTTTGCCTAAGATCAAAAAGGTATATTTTGAAACACATGATTTTCTTTAAAAATGCTATTTATGGATTTTTTAAAAGATGATTCTTGGTGTTGATTTTTACAAAAAATAATCTACTTCTATTTTCTAATTTACCACAAGACTAACTTTGGTTTAAATGAAAACATTTGACAGACATTTAAATTATCGAAAAAGTCGATTTTTTTTATCAAAATCACAAAACAAATTAATCAAACAATTTTTAATCTTTTTTACAAAAAATACAATTTATTATAAATCAATTCATGAATTTCAAACAATAAAAATTGATAGCAAATAACGTATTAATACGTACACTCTATGCGATGACATTTATGTAT